AGACAAGACCTAACACCCTCTTCAATATTTTAAAATTTTATAATGCTGCATTTGGGAGCACAAAATTGGACGCCTTAAATATGAAATTGGAGATTACTTACACATGGTATAACCATAGCAAATAGCAAATACGATTCTTAACTAATATTCTAAGTTTTTACAGGGTATTTGATTGTAACATACCTTTGGCTTTTTTGGGTTTGTTCAAACATTGAATTTCAGGTTCCACCGTGTAGTTGTTGAAGCTACAAATCTTGCCTTGTGCTTCACATCTGCCACAGTTTGGCGTGGACCAATTGAGTTGAAGGTTAACTTTCTGGTAAAAAATGTGAAAAGGAACTGAGGAAATATCACCGATCTTGGTGCATTTTGTTGACCAATATCTTCACTGAAAGGGAAAGTCCTATCCCTATTTGGTTCTTGTTAACCTCATCTGATATGTGTGTTCATATATGGTCGGGTCGGGTCTACACAGGCACACAAAATAAATTATACCGAGTATATATATTCAAAAAAAAAAAAAAACTCCTTAAAATATCATTAACACTAAGGACAATATTTAAGTCATTGTAGATATCTTGATCTTAGTGGTTAGTGCTTTCGATGAATTTTGGGAGTGCCAGATTTCGACTTTTTGCACCTACTAATCTAATTTTTAATCCTTCTTACTTTGTAACAAAAATATAGATTTCGACTTTTTGTATCTACTAATCATATATATATATATATTTATATTTAAGTCATCGTTAGTGGGGATTTACAACATATTTACTTCAAAGGTGATAGGTAATATTTACTTACCAAATTAGGTAATTTGATTATTATTTATAATTTAAAAATTAAAATAAGACGTATTTATTTATTACTGATCTACGTTATAAATCCTTATTAGTGAAAAGACTTCAATATTATTCTTCAAGCTAATAGCATTGAAAACATTTCATGATATTTATTATAAAAAAAAACCTAGCAATGCGGTCTTTAATATTTTCTGAGTAAACATCATGAAAAAAAGCAAACCCGACACTGTATAACAATGGCCAGAGATGGCATTTGTAGTATTGAATACTTGAAAGATATTTTAGATAGAAAAGCGACAAACCCGATTTTGTCCGTATTTTTCTATTTAAGCAATTAATTTCTTAAACTGTTTTTTTATTTTTTTATACCTAGCCATAATTTTGAAATGACAAAATTATCAATTTAATATATATATATATAGGTAACATAAAATCGATTTGCTCGATTGGAACTAAAAAGATCGCATTTTTCCGGAGAGATCTGATGACCTGGTCGATTGAATGGTTTAATCAAACCCACATAACATAGGTTCGGACTTCGGAATGCTGACCCTAAAGAGATCTATTATCGTTCAACTTGATTTTGGTATATATTCAATTGATTTGTTCTCTACTGTTTTAGGTTTTCTAAGTATTTTTAATATTTTCGAATCAATCCTAGTTTTCGGTTTTCATGTTTGACGGATGTTCTTCTTACTGGTTGCTTTAATTTTTTTTTTTTTTTAGAATATTTGTTTGTGATTGTTAAAGATATTGAATGTATTGTCTGATCAAATATTCTGATTTATTTTTTGGTGTACTTGTCAAACTGTGTAACCCTCTTTGTTTAACTTTTGTTTTCTCTTGAACTCATGTTTGTTTTTTTTTTTTTTTTTTCCGATGGCAGGACCCTTTGAACCCACCCCAGGAAATACTGCAGCTGACACCACAGTTATAGCACTAGGTTAGTTGATGAAACTAAAAGGCTTGGTAGAGGACTTGAACTCATGGTTTTTGGTTTGAGAGTAGAAGATGGAACTATTTCGAATGATCCGTTTCTACATGTCTATAGTGTTTAACTTTGAATCTTTCTGTCTTTTTCACATGGAGTCTATTGGCGCAAGATTGAGTTGTTTGGTAACTGATTTCTCATATTATAAGGATAGGATGAGTTGTCAAATTTTCATTGGATGTGAAGATTATACTAGCCAACAGATATTCTTAGATAACACATGAAAATGTGCCTCTTTCATTTTTATTAAATGAAAAAAAATAATAATAAATAAATAAAATTATTGTAGTTTAAGAAGGAAAAAGCCGAAGTATTTGTTAATGCGGACGGAGCCAGTAGATTTTTGCCTTGAAATGACCTGAAAGAAACCTAATAAAGACGTGTTGCAATGACACATGCATGGAGTAGGAAGTAGGTCGATTGGCTTTTTTTGTCGATGGAATTGTGGTGGTGCATACCTAGATGCCTTGGGTTGATCGGCTTGGCCTGCATGTACGCAGCGAATCTGCAATAAATGGTGTGAACTGAAGTGAGTGTGACTTGTGCGGTTGAAATCTCATATTATAAATACTTCATTTTAAATTTATTAAGCTGTCCCTATTTATAAAATTTAGTTCTTGTTTTGTTTGAGAATTATCAAAACCAATGAAATCAGAATGATGGGACACCATTTTATTTTTATTTCTCATCTTATAGTTTAAAGCGTGGTAAACATGTGCCAAATCACTAATTTCAGGTGCCTCTGCAATTTTATTAGAGAAAGTTTTACAGACAGTATCATGCATGCCACTGTTGCACACTGGATCAGTTTTCCCCATATCACATTAATATATTTAAGTTAATCCAAATATGCTTGTGCATTAGTATTAATCATCCCCATATCCTCCGCAATTGCTGACTTTTTTGTGTGGGCAAAGCACCCCTTTTTATCTTTAGAAGTTTTATGAGTTTAGCAAAGTAATAACCGAATTCTGTCGGAAAAAAATACTCTCAAAATTTGTAACCAATTCTTGTGTTGAAAATCTCTGTCTCTCTCTCCATGTCTCGAGGAAGTCTTCTAGGTTGTACTTCTCATCCAGATACCTCAAGTTTGGAATGCTAAGGAAATTCATCAGTGCGAACCTTCTTCTTGTGGCAATAACCTTAACATAAGCAATCCCTTCCGATTAGCAGGTGATCAACAACATTGTGGTGATCATAGGTATGAGCTGGCTTGTGAAAACAATCTTACGGTAGCATATTTCCATTCGAACAAATATTTTGTACAAGCTATCAACTATGGTAACTTCACAATCGGTCTGGTCGACCCCGGTGTACACAAGGATAATTGCTCCTCCATTCCTCGTCACTCTTTAACCCAATACAATTTCAGCTTTGAAGATGATCCCTATAGCATTTCTAGATATATATATATCGGACAGACCCAAAGAACATTATGACAAAGCCTATAATTTTTTTAAGTTGTCCAAATCCAATGGGTTCTCCTCTCTATGTGAATTTTTCACCTTGCAGTGGAATAAACTTTGCTTCTTTAAACTCCTCTAGCAGGCATTCTTATGTTAATATTGGGTACCTAAATGTATTGCATGTGATGGACTTGTGCCCTGTAGACCTAATTTTTATGACATTGTTGCCTGTTAATGAAGATGAGGGTAACCTTTCATTTGCACTAGTCAATCAAAACCGTGATCAATTCGATAAGAAGGTGCGGGATCTGTTTCCAAAATTGAAGATTTGCTTCCAAAATGATCTAGACCTGGGAGCAAGTTTTTTTCACATAAATATTGAAGATTTGTATCAACCTTATTAGAGTGTGTGGCACATTGTGGAGAGAGAGAAATACACGAGAGATTGTGAGATTGATGTATTGTGCGAGAGATTGATGTATTGTGAGACAAAGAGCAGATCGTAGTCCCGTAACATCCATCATTGTTATTGATAGTGAATATTCCGGTGCGTTCCGTGAATATTCCGGTGCGTTCCGTGGGCATAGGCAAAATAATTGTGCCGAATCATGTAAATCCATGCATTCTTATGTTATTGTTTTGTTTCTCAAATATTATTACCAACAACTGGTATCAGAGCATCCCATTGTTTCCCCAACATCCACCACGTCAATGTTGTTCACCTAGTCCGGTTTTGTGCTGATGGGGAAAATATTAGTCCTTACTTTTCATTTGAAATCACTTTGTTAGCCATAGAATGCTAGTTAGTATTACGCTCAAATGTGACACTATTGTTTAAGCTTGCATTATAAGCAGTGCTGACTTTTTGTGTGGACATAATCAATTCACAAGACCCTCTCTAGCTTATTATCTATCCTTAGGAGCCTTCTGAGTTCAGCTTCTCATAGCAAAATTTGAAACGAATTCTTGTGCTGAAAACTCTCAAAATTTGTAATCTACCAAGTCTCTCTCCATCTCTCCCTGTCTGGAGGAAGGCTTCTAGGTTGCCTCACAGCCCTTCTACTACTCATTCAGCTACCTCAAATTTCCATTGCTAAGCAAAATCACAAGTGTGAACCTTCTTCTTGTGATAACCACCTTAACATAAGCTACTCCTTCCATTAACAGGTGACCCAAGACATTGTGGTGATCAACGGTACGAGCTGGATTGTGAAAACAATCTTACAGTAGCATATTTCCACTCAAATAAATACTATGTTCAAGCTATCAACTATCACAACTTCACTATCCATCTAGTTGATGCCGATGTACTAGCACACAATAAGCGTAATTGCTCCCCCTTTCCTCGTCACTCTTTAACCTATGCCAATTTCAGCTTTTTTGAAGATCCATATACCATTTATAGAGGTGGTTTTTTGTCAGACCCAAATCAAAAAATTATATCAAAGCCTATAAAAATTTTAAGTTGTCAAAATCCAGTGGATTCTCCTCTCTACGTGGAGTTTTCTCCTTGTATGAGTATTGGAGGAGTACCCTTTGCTTCTAATTCCAACTCCTCTAGAAGGAGGTACGTTCATATTGGTCACCTAAATGCATCAAATGCGAAGTACATGTGCACTACTCCAGACCTCATGCTTATGACGTCGTTGCCGGGGATTAATGAAGAAGAGGGTAACCTTTCAATTGCACAAGTCAGTAGTGCCTTGCTTTATGGATTCGAGCTTTGGTGGATTAAGGCGAACTGCAGGGGATTTTACTACTTTGATCAACAAGATCACTTTCATTGCTTTCCTTTGGTAGGACATGGTGTTTTTTTTTTTTCTTCATATATATGTGTGCTTTATTTTTCTAAATTTTTGTATATTGTTTTCTAAATTTGCAGATTATGCTAATATATGTGTTTTATTTGTTTGTCGTGTACACATAAAACTCTCACAAATAAATTGTCGAGTATTATGTGTTTAATCAATTATTTTATTTTGTTAAGATTCAAATCTATTTATGTTCAATTTAAATATCAGTTAAAGTTTGATAGATTACATTTCATAATGGCACATGAATTTGTCATATATATATTTATTTATTTATATCCTAGCAACAAACTCAATACAACTGTAATAATTCTAATTTTCAGCATTTTAGAATTTTCTGAAAATTCGTTAATGCAAGGGCATTTTCGTCTTTTCACTTTACCATCCGGGTTTGTGGTTGGGTCCAGTTACATTTCCTACATTTTAATTTATGTGGTGATGTAGCATTTGTATGGTGCAATTGTGTATTTGTGGTGTAATTAGAGACAAAAAAATAAAGAGAAAAGGAAAATAATTTCAAGTGGGGCCCACCACTAACTTATTTGGCCAAGAAATCTTCTTTTCTTTCTCATTTTCTTTCTCTTTCCCGTATGCTCTCTCTCCCTCTCGGTTCCTTCTCTTTTTCTTTCATTTTGGAGACAAAAAACTTTGAGGTTTGATTACTCAATCATCTTTCATCGGATTTAGGAACCGTTTGAGGCGAAACGAAGCTTGTAGCGAGCTCTACGCATCCATACTATCAATTTTCAGTTTTGAGTCTTCCTTGGAGCTCGAATTTGGAGGACCTATTCTAGGGATTTCGGCTTGGATTGTGAGGTAGGGACATCTTAAGCCATAGAATCTTGCTCTATAATGAATCATGCTCCTCTATGTGTGTTATAGCATGTTTAATTGTTATTGATTTTGATTAAAATGATTTAATTGACAACATGCTAGTTATGTAAATGTGTATAACATGGTTGAATGAAAAGTATGTCTATGTGATGGTTGTTTACATTTTTTTTTGAGGTTACTAACATGCTATAATGATGCCATGAGAACATGCTTATTTATTATTGTGCTAAGTTTCCATTTGTCATTATATTGAAATCATGACATGAGTCTACATCTCATTGGGTTGCATGAAAAAGGGAAGTGGTTGTCTTGAAATGAAAATGGGGATTTGGGAATGAATGTTTTGGAAAAAAAATTGGTTTTGACAAACCCGGTCGCTGCGGGGTTACCAACGGGCCGGAGGTTAATGTAGCCTAGGGAGGACTAGGAAGAGTACCCTAGCGTGGTTGAGCTATTTGGACCCCTCGACGGCGCCACGGGGTCACCAAGGGCCTAGGGACGGTAGCCAATCCTCCTCTCGTCGCGGCGGGGTTACCAAAGGGGGTTACATTAACTTTGAACGTGATGGTTTTGAGAATGAAAACGGGGAGTGACTTTAGCATGCATTGCATCTCACTCCATTTGCATTTGTGTGTGATTGAATTTGACTTGTACTTGTAATTATTTTTCCCCTTCAATGCATGTCCCCAATCTCCCATTGGCGTATGCTTTATTTGGATTCACTAGGACACAAGAATTGTGTCTTAAGTGTCACCTGCTGAGCTATATGCTCACTCCTATATCTATATATATATTTTTCAGGTCTTGGAAAGGAACTGGTGGATGACAACCCACCTCAAGCTTGAACGGCGTTAGAAGTCCACTTTTGTATCTTTGTATATTCCCCATTATTTTGTAAAACACTAGAAGTGCAAAGATGTATAATTATTTTGTGGAACTTTGTCATGTAATATAACTAAAGTATTGATGATGTTTTGGATGGGGATTTGATAGTATGCAACTTATTGATGAATGGATGGATAATCCTAGTTTGAAGCATTGTCTAGATTAGTTGGTTGTATCATTATCTTTTGTTGCCGTGAATTCGGAATTTGAGTCATGACAGGTTAAAAATGCAATTAAACAGGTTGTGATAGGCCTATTTTTAGGGGAGGTCATGCCAATTTTTTTTTGTTTAAAAAGTATTAGTTTTGAGTCGTTACAACAACTGCATCTCCCCTTGTAGGCACTTTAATCATAATTTTTGTACTTTAAAAGGTGAGTACCACTCTACTACAACTCTTAGTAATTTTTTTTTTTTTTTAATATATTTTATTATTTTATTTTCTAGGTAAAACAACCTCAACAATCAGTTGACCAATTTATCTTATCTTTTAGGGTGGACTAGTGCATAGTTACTAGTTAAAAAGATGGTTACTTCTCACAATTGTGACCTTCAAATTTCCTTTTGAAATAAAATACTGTATTTATCTTAAACATTTTTTATATTGTAACTCGTAAATCTGTCATCCAAGGCCTTGTAGTATAGTGGAATTTCCTCACATTTAAATTAAAAATAGAAGTATACTTACTTTTCTAATCCTTAGAATTTAATTCTAAATTTTCTGTCGCCTTTAAATACCATTAGGGTGAATTGTCAAAAGGAGACTCTCCCAAAGGAAAAATAAAAAATAAAAAATCTAAGAATTCTCATTCTCTACTGGTTTCCGGCATAGAGGAGGTAAAGGGGTTGCGTTTTTCAGTTTTATCTTTCACCTACAAAAATGATGTTTGTCATGTTATATATATATATATGTATGTTCAGTGGTGTTAATCTGTTAGCATACTTACTTTTAATTGTATCTTTAGAATCTAATCCCATTTTTTATATTATCTTTAAATACCCTGAATTTTCAAAAGTGGACACTCTCTCAAAGAAAAAAGAAAAGAAAAATATAAGAATTCCCATTCTTTGCAATAGGCTACTGGTTCCCGGCATGAAAAAGGTAAATAGCTTGCGTTTTTCAGTTTTATCTTTAACCTAGAAGAATGATATAAGAATGATATTTTTAGACACCTAGCCACTAAAATTATGTTTACTTATACGTAAATCATATTGGTTAATTTTTTAAAGGAGAACTGAATGGACATCATCACGCTACATTAAAAATTGCCAATTAAGCTGCCATGGCACGCACCTCTCTGCGAATTCTTATTTTAATTAGTCAATGAACTTATATTTCAACCATCTGAAGTCAATAAAAAAAACTTTAGTCATATATTTAAGAAAGAAATTATATTTCAAGAAAAATAAATTTTATTTCGTGTGAAGAAAACTGTGGCATTTATGCTAATTTTTTATCAACTTTGGATTGCAGAGAATGAGCACCCAAAATCTTAGATTTTTTTTTCTTTTTTCCCCTTTGAGAGAGTGTCTATTTTTGATAATTCACCCATTTAAAGGTAATAGAAAAAATGAGCAAGTTCTCTAAAATAGTAAAATGAAAGGTTTATGTTGAATTAGATTTTAAGATTAGAATTAAAAGTGAGTATACTTTTTTTTAAGAACAGCTGAACACTACTGTATATATATATATTAGTGTTCTTTATATATTGATTACCTACTAATTAGTAAGGTCAGGTATACTTTACTGAAAACGATATAATATATATATATATTTTTTCTCTTTTTCTCTTTTGAAAGGTGATATAATAATATGTTTTGACAGTCTTCTGTCATATGTTCTTTCTTCTGGACACTTAAAAGTATGGTTTCTTCTTATAATTATACATCTATTGTCTCCGACTTTACATCTACATGTTTTTTTTATTTTTTTTTATTTTTAAGGCAATTCAGGTATTCTCGGACTCCCGCGCTACGTTATTTTAGGTAAGAGAATTCTTTCCCCAAGCAATTGGTTCTTAATTAAGACGTACATTCATCACAATTCTTTTTGGTATATTTCTCACTTTGTGCATCTTTGCTTGCTTTTGTCGATTATATTTCAGGGATTGTGTTGGCAGCATTGGTCATCGGTGAGAACACGTCTTTCAGCACTAAAATATACCTACACTCCATTTATTTGGATGTAAAATATTTTTTATTTTTTTATTATTTTTTGATGTTTGACACTAATGAAATATAGACAAAGAAAAAAAATACTAAAACCTAACAAAATAATTTACTCAGCAAATTTCGACAAGTTATTTTATACCCACATGCAATGGAGTCTTTTTCAACATTGACCTAAAACTTTGCTAAATACTAAAAAATAAAATAAAATTTATTTTTTTAAAAAAATACTTTACATCGAAACAAAAGGAGCCTTAACTTAGAAATGTTAGTATAAAAAATATTTATGTAGAAGAAACAGGGCAAATTACAGAATTTAAAAATGCCTATGATATCAAGGAGTAACAGTTATAAGTTCCTCAGGTTATGATTATCTTGTAATATGCGTACACAGGATTAAATATTGCTATGAGAATTATTTGTGGAATTCCGATTGGATTGACGTTTGGATTGACTGTCTTAATCTATCAATTGCGAAGAAGGCATGTATCAATGTTCGATGATACTGAGAATTACTTGCGAAGTAAGAACAACTTCACTCCTCTTAGGTACTCTTATTCTCAAATTAGAAAGATGACAAATGGTTTCAAGGACAAATTGGGTGAAGGAGGTTAGGTTGCATGTATAAAGGAAGGCTTAGAAGTGGCAGTCTTGTAGCTATCAAAATATTGGACAAGTCTAAAGCTAATGGGCAAGAATTCATCAATGAAGTGGCTACCATCGGAAGAATTCACCATGTCAATATAGTGCAACTAATTGGATATTGTGCGGAGAGGTCTAAACGTGCACTTGTGTATGATTTTATGCCTAATGGATCTCTTGAGAAGTACATTTTTCTTAGAGAAAAAGGAACTCTGTCCTTGAGTTGTGAGAAAATGTATAGGGCTTCTGTTGGAGTGGCACATGGGATTGAATATCTACATCGGGGTTGTGACATGCAAATTTTACATTTTGATATCAAGCCTCACAACATTCTTCTTGATGAGAATTTCACTCCAAAAGTTTCGGATTTTGGGCTTGCAAAATTGTATCCGACAGATGATAGCATTGTGTCTCTAACGGCAGCAAGAGGAACAATGGGTTACATGGCTCCAGAATTGTTCTATAAAAGCATTGGAGGTGTTTCATACAAAGCTGATGTCTATAGTTTTGGAATGCTGTTGCTTGAATTGGCGGGAAGAAGGAAGAATTTGAATGCATTTGCCAACCATTCAAGCCAAATTTACTTCCCCTCATGGGTTTATGACCAAATTATTGAAGGAAATGACCTAGAAATAGGAGATGCCAATGAAGAGGAAAGGAAAGTTGTAAGGAGGATGATAATAGTGGGATTGTGGTGCATACAAATGAAGCCAAGCGATCGTCCTTCAATGACTAAAGTTGTGGAGATGCTAGAGGGAAATGGTGATTTCCTACAAATGCCTCCCAAGCCTTTTCTTTATCCAGAGCAGATGCCAGCTGAAGATGGTGGAATCAACACTGAGCTTCCAATTAATTTGGGCGATTCTATTGCTTCCATCACTTTGGATATAAGTGCTTAACCACCGGCTGTACCACAGAGCCAAATGGAGGCAGTTGCCTCTTTGAATGTTATTTTAATTTTATATGTATATTATTTTATATTGTGAACTTCTTCTCTTCTAAATTTGTTTAAAAAAATGTTTATCATTAATGTTTTTTATTTATTATTATTATTTATCTTTGACGTTCACAATCTGTTTTTTAATGTCAAATTCTCTTTTCTTTTTCCAAATTCTGTGTCCCTCCTCCTCATGGCGAACACCAAGTTCAACATTTTGCAATCAACTTCTCATTAGGGCCTAGGCAACAGGCGAAAAATTGGGTAAGTTGGGTCGGGTTGAATATAACCAATCCGATAGGGTCACAACCCATATTCAACTTATTTGAAGTGATTTGAATATGGATTAGGTCAAAATGTTCCGGGTTAACCCGTCATGACCCGTTAACTCATTTCTTTATTCTTCTTCTTCGTTTTTTTTCTTCCTTTTTTTGCCAAAAAAATTAATACACTTATTCATTTAGGCTAATATCATAGTTTGGATAGATAAAATTAAACGGCTCAAAATTAGTTGAAAACACACATTTAATTCTGGGTCCAATCTGCTTGCTAAATCCTACTTCTTTTAAAAAAAATTAAATCAATATTATTTTATGAATTTTACCCTACAACGTTTTGCAAATTTTTAAATCTATATTATTTTATGAATTTTGAAACCATATTTCCAAATTACCATGTGGCGTCCCGTTTAGTGAAACCCGATCCATTTAGTACGACCCGACCCGTTTTAAAAATATATAAACTGTGTTTGTGCGTGTATAAAAATATAAATAGGTATTTCTTTGATTGAATATCCAACATGGTTTGGTAATTGCTATGGTGATGGCATAATACTTTGGTTGGTTGTATTATGTGGGACATATTAATCCAGCTGTTTATTAACAACTCTGCTCAATTAAAGATTCAATTTTTTTTTCATTTATTATTATTAATCCTTAACTCTACTTAATCATGAATACGAAGCGAGGTCAAGGTCTTTAAGACTACTTTTTTCACTGAACCAAAGAATTTAAACCTCCAGTGTGGTGACCAATAAACCTGTTTTAAACGCTACAGTTAGCATAATTAAATTAAACTGTTCGTGAACCATTTTGTCACCCCTTCACCCTAAGTTAGTGTAAAAAATCTTAATCCCGTTTTTTAGCCAATATTATTATTTCAATAAAATAAGATTATTATTATTATTTTCTTTCTAAAGTGCAGAATTTTGTTAACAAAAAGTCATTAATCAAACCCACCATTTTGGGTCAAATAACATTATCTTTTACACATCAAATCCCGAATCACAACTTTGTTTGAGAGAAATTGAAGATGCAAAGAATTTCTCTCTCTATTTTGACAGAGTCTCATTACATTTTCAATAAAAATAAATCTCTCTCTCTTTTACTCTCTCACTGCCCTTTTATA